GGCACTCCCCGGTTAGGTGCTAGGAAGAAAATTACAACATAAGATTCTCACGAGGAGACCGATCAATGCTCAAACATGAATTAGCAGCCAAGTGTTTGATTAGCGGTACGGGGAATGTATATGGCTAATGGGCGTGAGTTTTGGCTGAGGAAGATCAGTTACTAAGAAGACCGTCTTCACAAATTTTCAGCTCAAAAGGAGGAGCCTGGGTGATACTTGCTTTGCAAACTACCACACTGGACATAAATACGAATGTTGAAGCTGGGCTCAAAATAATGAATGGATTGAGCTGGCATTTGGCGGAGGATGGTTATTTGGGCATAGGAAAGCACTGTAGAAAATGGATACTATTTGGACATGCCAAAGTGGTACTTCCTTCACAAAGTGCTGCTGTGAACAGAATAGGAAAATGAATATTTTTGAATTATTTTTGAACTAGGCAAGGAAGGTTCTTGATATATTTGATGAAGATATGATCCAAACAATTTATGAGAATTTTTTGGGAATTTTTGGAATAACAGAAATATAGGTTGCTTCACAACCTTGGGCAAAAATTGACACATGGACATGACACATAGGCAAAACTGATGAGATGGCGCCTAGTCATCGCAACCCACCATAATTTACAAGGCTATGATCATCTATATTGGTCGTTAACAACTAGAAATAAGGCAGCGGACTAGCGTTGTTTGCTTTATGACCATTTCGTGTAAGGAAATTACGACCTTTCCGACCAAAATGGTCGCAATGGTTTAGGGTTTGGAGCCCCCCGAACAGCTTTTGACTAATTGGTCTCAAATGGTCATAGATCTATGACCAATTCTACGAGGGTCACTGACAGAAGGTCACTAGTTGACATATTTCTTGTAGTGATTTCGAGACTCCTCGTCATGTCCGTGATCTCATACGGGACTCCGGACAAACTTCGTTCATCTAATCACATAACTCATAATACAAATCATCATCGAACATTAAGCGTGCGGACCCTACGGGTTCGAGAACTATGTAGACATGACCGAGACACATCTCCAGTCAATAACCGATAGCGGAACCTGGATGCTCATATTGGCTCCTACATATTCTACGAAGATCTTTATCGGTCAAACCGCATAACGACATACGTTATTCCCTTTGTCATCAGTATGCTACTTGCCCGAGATTCGATCGGCGGTATCTTCATACCTAGTTCAATCTTGTCACCGACAAGTCTCTTTAATCGTTCTGTAAAGCTTCATCCCGTGACTAACTCATTAGTCACATTGCTCGTAAGGCTTATAGTGATGCGCATTACCGAGAGGGCCCAGAGATACCTCTCTGATACAATGAGTGACAAATCTTAATCTGGATCTATGCAACTCAACAAACACCATCCGAAACACCTGTAGAGCATCTTTATAATCACCCAGTTACGTTGTGACGTTTGATAGCACACAAGGTGTTCCTCCGGTATTCGGGAGTTGCATAATCTCATAGTCAAAGGAACATGTATAAGTGATGAAGAAAGCAATAGCAATAAAACTAAACAATCATTATGCTAAGCTAACGGATGGGTCTTGTCCATCACATCATTCTCTAATGATGTGATCCCATTCATCAAATGACAACACATGTCTATGGTCAGGAAACTTAACCATCTTTGATTAACGAGCTAGTCAAGTAGAGGCATACTAGCGACACTCTGTTTGTCTATGTATTCACACATGTACCAAGTTTCCGGTTAATACAATTCTAGCATGAATAATAAACATTTATCATGATATAAGGAAATATAAATAACAACTTTATTATTGCCTCTAGGGCATATTTCCTTCCAAAATAGGCGGTCAAGACCGGAGAAACATTGTGAAAAGGTAAACGTCGATGCTTCTTTCGTCAAAATAATGACCAAACCTGCATTGGGGACATGGTGGAAGCCGAAGCCTGAGCATGCTAAATCGGTCTCCTGCTCGTGAAAGACCTCCTTGTTTCCCGCATTGTTTTGAAATACGATAATGCTTATGTTGTCAATGTCTTCAGAAGCAACAAAGATTTTGGTGCCTCATCTTGAATATCTATGAAGACATTAACCATTTGAAGACTCAATTAAGTTTGTTTCAAAGGACGTTGGGGAGAGAGTGAGCATTAAAGTAGCAAATGAACTTGTGGCGTTGTCAAGAAATTTATGTGCTCATAGCTTGGTTAGATGAATACCCTGTTGATATTAGCCTGCTGGTTGTAAGTGACATTGTAACTCTTTTCATGATGATTAACATATTGTTATTTCCCTTGGAAGAACAAAAATATTGCACGAATGTTATGTTTCCGATTATTTTTTTTGGTTCACTACAGCACGCCCCATGTGGAGGCGAGCAGGGTAAACTATTCCGGTGCAACGATTTCCTCGCTAGTGATGTGATGCCCCTACAAACGGCAATGCGAAACCTATGTACACGCTGTCGTGGAAGCGCCATGGTGCCCTTAGACCTCTCGTCGTGGGATCGACGGACTAAGGAGGCAGCAATCCACTATCTCGACGACAAAGGGAGGGGGAGCAGGACTAAGGAGCTGGAGACCCACTATCTCGATGACAAAGGGAAGGGGCAAATTGTCGTCACCGGTATCCTCTTAGCGGTATACGTTAGGAGAGAGTGAATCATGACCCCTTGAAGATACGTGTGTTTCATGTGCACACTTAATTGTTCATGAAAAGATATCATACCAACATGGTCTTGATGTAGTTTTTTTTAAGACTTGATGTAGTTACCTAGTTGCCCATGTCACAGTTATCACTATGGCACCCTTACCCGATGACTCAAGTAAAGTCTAGTTTTGAAGTCGTTGACTATCTGGAAATATCACGATAACTTTCATATTAGTGGCTATTAACACACACAAGTAAGGTATAATGTGAAAGTAATAACAAAAATGCCAAACGGAGACCGACCTCCATGGAGGCCTTTATTTGAAAACTTTAAAATTCAAACTTTTCAGTTTCAAAAATTCTGAAAATAAATACACATATACCTAGATACATAATGTACATGTGTGCAAATTTTCAGGCTGAAATACATTAAAATGTGAGTTACACAAAAAAGACAAATCTGAAGCCTTTTAGCATATATATATTGTTCATCTATAAAGTCCATGATTTTGGTTTTTTGGTACAGCTTGCAATTCAAGGTATTTCATCCTGAAATTTTCACACATACACTTTACATCCTTGCATACATGTGTATTTTTTCAGAATTTTTTGAAAGTGAAATTTATGAATTTTGAATTATTCAAAATAAAGGGCTCCATGGAGCTCGGTCTCCAAAATGCCCTACTCAAGTAATAACTAGTTGTGGATAGTCAGGAACTCACATATTACCGACTAGATACTTTGTATGCTCAAAATTAATTGAAGTTCTAGGTTTTTCCTAAGTCTAACCTATTTAAGTTTCACCAAGTTTATAGAAAAATATTTCAACATCTACAATACGAAATTAGTTTTAGTAGGTTTGTTATAAACTATATTTCCATAATATATGTATTTAATGCCGTAGATCTTAGCAGATTTTGTATGTGTTTGATGTTGTAGATTTTAGCATATTTTATATAGGTATTTGATGTTATAGATCTTAGCAGATTTTGTATAGACATCATCAAACTTAATAACGTGTTACTTACATTAATTTTTTTTGCTTATGATAATTCTTGAACTTCAATTATTTTGGAATAGAGGGAGTAACTTTTTAATGCCGGTGACTAGTTCTGATTTGTTCAGCAACTCACATGTTAATGCATGGTAACTTTAATCCAGAAAAAAAAACGTAAAAGTTGAGGAGGGTTTCAAAACAATAGGCCCAGTTCATAACCCTAGAGTTTATTTTTGAAGAAAACCGCAAGCTTTCATTTGTAATAACTATTACATCATTTGTGAGGATGTGTACAATTTCATTTCATGGCTCCTCAAACCAATCAGAAGTCAAAGAAAATTTAGCTAATCTAGCAAGCTCGTAAGGAACTTTATTTGTTTTTGTATCACAATGCTCGAATCTAGAAATAGAGAAATCTCAAGCAAAATGAAAGCAATCATTAAAGGCTGCCGCTGCCAGCCGTGCCTACCGTTCTCCATCCTCCATGGTATCAATCACCTCTAGGTTGACCAAGTTAATAATAATATGATTGCATACCGTCCTTTGCGCAAGCGATATATCAAATTTGAGAGCCAAAGCTTCAGCCAACAGGACATCTGCACCAGTTTATCTTTCCATTCCTCCCAACAATGAATCTGTCTTTGTCATCTCTTAGTACCGCCTCAATCATACCCCTAACAAGCAAATCATGGTCAAAAAAAAGCATTAACATTAAGTTTAACAAAACCCAGGGGAGGGCATGATCAACCCCCTCTTGTTATGGACACCTTTGGAGATGAAACAGTAACAAAACTGGTTGTAAGAGCACGGATCCCCAAAAAATTCTAGTCCGTGTTCTAACCTTTCCCAGTTGTCTCCTTATGCAGCAATTTATGCCTTTCCCACAACAAGTACTAGGCTGAGATGGCAGTGCACCAATTTACGCCTTTCCCACAAAAAGTACTAGGCTGAGATGGCAATCATTTTTCACGCACATTCTGATTACCCATGAGACACAAATCCCGCTTTGGCGGAAGAAAAATATACCGCAGCACCGCCTCACCAGCTAGATGCTTCGTACCCGGGAGTGTGCCATGTAGGTTCAGAGTTAAAGTTTGATCCTCAGTGAGAGGCTCATCCGCAGCATAGCTCCAGCCTATCTCATCACAGCAGCAATATGTTGTCGGAGTCACAATGGAAGAACAGAACTTGAAGAAAATAGCATTGTACTATTAAGGAATGCTACTTGTAAACCTATGTACAAATGTGGTGGCTACCAAAAATGATCACTAATCACCGTAAGGCACAACACATTCGTGTGGAAGAGGGACACCACACACTTTGCTTCTCTGAAATGAATGATTCGTGTCACAATTAACTCTTTTACAGTGAAGATTCACATCATCACATGTACATTTGTCTGGAGAGCTTGTACCCCGAAACCGTGGCTGACAAGGCGAGGGCAACAAATGCAAGGAAGGCCATGCTGATCGCCGCAGCGGTCGCGTCAGTGAAGTTGTTGATCACAGCTGTTCTCATGCGGTTCGTGATAGGGATAGCCGCTGACAGAGCAGACATCAGCAAGTATGCGACTACCTGCGAATATGTTCACCAGTTTCTATTAGCGGGGGCACCAAATTTCATCATTATGAAATTTTGGCTGACATATTTTTCAAGAAACACAACAATTGACAGGCAAGTCCACTGCAGGTTTTGGAAGCTAGCTCAATCCAGAATATCCTACTATTTTGTAATCTTGCATTCAACATGGTACCATGGCACAAAACAAAAGCCTGAGATAAAATATAACCACAACAGCAGTTTAGCCATTATCCGAAAAATCCAAGGGTTAACATGGAAAACATGTTTGGTCCAAAAACTGATTTCTTTAAGTATGCATGTGTAAGAATTTCATAAACTGCAGCATTCTGACTAGCCACATTATTAGTCATACTTTCATTAATTAACAAAACTTAGCTATTTGCACCGGTAAAGTAAATTTAGCAAGGGCCAAGTTCCAGCAAAACTACTTCTAAGTATCAGTAGCATATTGGGGTCCACTAATACAAATTCCATTGTTTCTTCACATGGGATTCAAAGCCATGAAAGTAAGCTGCTAAACAATCATATTATTTGCAGAAGACAGAAGCTCATAAAAAAAGTTAATTAAGTAGCAACAGCACGGGTTTAAAACATTCATACCCTCCAGGGCATCCTAAGTAAATGTGGTCCCAAAACATTTGAAAGGCAACAATTACATCCATTTATCTGAATTTACACAACATGCAATGGACAACATGAACTATTTTTTGCCATCTAGTATTGTACTATTCCAAAGCTCGAAGCAAACCAATGATTGAGAACATACATCGAACATGGAGCAACTTCTAATAGCTCATGGCCGGCCCTAACCACTCCCCAACCACTCTAATCTCCCCATTCCAACGCCACAACATTATCAGAGATGGTTGTTGTTGGGTTGCCATACAGATTGAACTATTGGACCATTATCGAGAGCTACATGTACCATATTTTAGTTGTTTCCACAAAGAAACAAGAGGCGGTATGGGTTGTAATTTGTGAAATTGTAGCTATGTCTTGGACCAGAATGTTGCAGTGTTCTACATTCCATAGACCAATCTTACTCTAACAGTTAAAAAACACCCCCATTCCAAAGCCAATCGAAGAACAATACAGTACCTATCAGGGTATCAGTGTATTGGATTCCACACATAGAAAAAAAACCTAGTCTAGTGGATTGATGTCTCTTTTACAAATGGAATTGGAATCTCTACTCCCCTGTCGCTATTCTTACTTTAACATGGTAAATTTCGGCCACACTTTATCTGCTGAGATCTCTTATCTCTTATTAATATTATACCGTTCCCTACTTTCCCCTCCCTGAGCAACCAACATTGGTCCAATTGAGAGATTCAAACCACATGAACTCTTATCAGATAACAAGGAGAAGTGATGATAACAGCTGCAAACTAACAACAGGTCGAAGCAACTCGCCTGGTCAGCAATGAAATCGAAAAGCCTCGCGGACGGCGCGGGGATGGGGTCGGCGGCGCTGCGCATCCGGTGCGCGTGCCGCAGCGCCTGCGCCAGCGAGTAGGCGAAGGCCAGCGCCGCGATCGCCAGCAGGTATCTAGCAACAACACAGCAGATGTAAGACGCTTAAGAAGCACCGGATCGAAGACCAGCCCTAGGCGGCCAAGCTCAAATCGGCTTACATGTACTCCTGGTAGCGGTCGAACTGCATCCAGTCGCCGTGCTGGTTGGAGGCGACGAGCACGAGCGCGACGAAGGCGAAGGCGGCGGCGGCGGCGTGCAGCGCGAGGGGGCACTTGTCGAGCATGTCCTCCCGCTTCCACCGCGCCACCACAGATTCCACAACAACGCCGCCGCCGCCGCCGCGGCGGGCCCCTCCGCCCACACCCGCGGTGGAGGCGCCGTTGTAGGAGCTGTAATCCTTGTCGGCTTCTGGCTGCTTCGTGGCGGCGTCGGCGGCGGCGGAGGAGTCAGCCGTGACCATCGCCATCGCTCACCAGTGGAACAGTGCCTGACCCCTGGCCCTGGGTGGTGAACGGGGAGAGCTGAACTGGGGTGTTTGCTTTGTGTGTGAAGCCGGAAAAGCACTTGAGGCGAGAGCAAGACCGGGATTAGCCCGGCGAACCTCTTCACCTCTTGACTCTTGTCAAGGACTAAACCGTCGCTGCTTTGTTGTGCTCGGGCCCTTCAGTCAGTGAGGTTTCGGTGCTTTCCTCACGTGCCAGGTGGAGTGTAGTTTGTGTTGGAAATATTAGCGTTTTTCCGATTAAACTAATCCACAAGTAAACGATAAGCATGGCATAAAAGGTATGCATCTCATAACGATACCTAAACATACTAGCACGTACAGAACATAAAAGCAAACCATCTATGAGCAGCACATATACGGCTAGTACAAGTACGAGTAAACGAGGGATGAACAGATCATACCTTCCGATTGGCCAGGCCAACACGGCGGCAGCAGCAGCTGCCTCGGCGTCGTCTGTGGCCTTCTTCTTGACGGCTGCGTCGTCGGCCATGGTGTCGATGCAGGGGAAGTAGTGGAAGCATAGGCGGACGGTGTTGGGGACGGATCGGGAGCAGGCGCGTCGAGACGCTCCCCAAAAACCTTATTGCCGTTCTCCCGGGCAGGATTTCGAACGACAGGGTTCCGAAGGCACCTGCTTTCCCGACCAGCCGTGCACGCGGTCGTCGTGATGGGGTCACCGAAGACAGCACAGAGTGAGGAACAGTAGACAACTAGGTCACGCGAGAGGGAGTGAGTGAACCGAACTAGATCACTCCACTGGCCAGAGTCTTCTTATATAGTCTGTCGGGTAGAAAGTCGTGGGCCTGGGCGGAGGCCCACGACCGAGTCGACGCACTCCCGGGAAGGTAGTCGTCGTTCCCGGAGAAGGGTCGCACACCCGCGAACGGAGTCGACGAATCCCGAAAACGCAAGTTAGCCCACAGTCCAATGTCTCAGACAGTGGCCCACCTGTTAGCGACTCGTTAATTAATCCCTGATTAATTAATTCATTTCTGAGCGGCAAAAATAAGCTTCGGCTCAGCTCATTTCTGCAACCCGCGCGCGTCGTGATGAGGCATGGCGAGGCGGGCGAAGGAGGAGGAGGAGCGCGCGTGTACCAGTCCTCTTCCCAAGCTCCCAATGGCAAGTGGTAGAGCAGCCCTTATAAAGGGGTCTCAGCTCTCCTCAACTAGCAAGGTGGGACTAAATTTATCACCACTTGCCATCTCATACATGGGCCTTAAGATTAACCAGGGATTAGTGTCTTATATGTGCCTAAGCCCATCCATAATCCATCAACCCCCCACCAGATCTCGAGGCACATAAGTTTGTCAACTGTTCCAGACAATGTTTGATATACCAGAATTTTCAGTGGAGACTGTTAAGTTGAACTTTCACCTAGAGCAACAGGATTCGACTTCTTTACAACTGAACAATGGACTATGGCTTAAATTGTTAGTTTGGTGTGCATAAGTTTCGCCTATTGTCAGCTGATACGTGGCTGCCGAAGGCTAAACTCCATGGGTGGAGCTCATTAGTCATACTCCGTACCTTCTCATGAGCTTACTAGATATTACCCAATCTCATAGACTGTGACCAGCAGTCGGACTCATATAAGTGTGTTCCTTCAAAGAATGCTATGTAGGTTAGCATCTTGCTTACATAAGCTTTGGAATACATTAAGACAAAAGTCATCCTGCCTTATAGAATTGAGAGTATTACTGCATCTCCAACAGAGTGGGCTTATTAAGGATACTCTCCTCAGTTGACCGTTGGATTGTTTTTCCGGGTCCTAATTCACAGGATCTCCGATCACATAGGTTGGGTTGCCCCAATGGCAACTTACGTGGGTCTCATACCCATCTTCCTCGATACATTTTCTATCAAAATCCGTGATAGCCCTTTCATAAAAGGGTCTGTCAGATTTTTAGCCGTCTGGATATAATCCAACGCTATTACTCCGGAGTTTCTTGATTTTCTGACAGATTTTAATCTTCTTCTTATGTGCTTTGTGGATTTCATGTTGTCCTTTGAACTCTTAGCTTTGACAATCACCGTTTGATTGTCACAGTTCATAAAGACAGCCGGCACTGGTTTATCAACCATCGGCAAATCCATCAAAAGCTCTCGAAGCCATTCTACGTCGATGCATGATGTGTCTAATGCTGTGAGTTCCGCTTCCATAGTCGATCTGGTTAAGATCGTCTGCTTGCAAGACTTCCAGGAAACAGCACCACCACTAAGTGTGAAGACATGTCCACTTGTGACTTTCATCTCATCAGCATAAGATATCCAATTCGAATCACTATACCCCTCAAGTACCGTCGAGTACCCATAATAGTGAATTCCATAGTTCGTAGTACCTTGCAAATAACGCATCACTCGCTCAACAGTATGCCAATGCATATCTCCCGGATTGGAAACAAACCGGCTCAGTTTGCACACAACAAATGAGATGTCAGGACGGGTAGCACATGCTAGGTACATCAGTGAACCAACCACTTGAGAATATCTCAATTGATCTATAGCCATGCCTTCGAACTTTCGAATCCGCGCGCTAGGATCATATGGTGTTGCAGAAGGTTTGCAGTCCGAATATCCAAACCGGCTCAAAATCTTCTCGACATAGTGGGATTGCAAAAGTGTAATTCCACCCTCATAATTTCTCAGTAGCTTGATGTTCAAGATAACATCAGCCATGCCCAAGTCTTTCATCTCAAAGTTATGAGATAGAAAAGCCTTGACCTCCTCAATGACTTTGAGGTGGGTCCCAAATATCAGTATGTCATCGACATACAGACACAGTATATCTCCTTCGCCCCCACCATAGCGATAGTATATGCGTTTGCCAGCTTCTTTAACAACAAAGCCAGCAGATGTTAGAGTAGTGTTGAACTTCTCATGCCATTGCTTAGGCGCTTGTTTCAGGCCATACAGAGATTTCATTAGCTTGCACACCTTTCTTTCCTGACCATTTACTACAAAGCCATCTAGTTGTTGTATGTAAATTTCATTGTCTAGCTCTCCGTTAAGGAAAGCCGTCTTAGTGTCCATCTGGTGGACGAGAAGACCATGCGAGGCAGCCAAGGCGAGTAACACTCGAATGGTTGTCAATCTAGCCATAGATGAATAAGTGTCGAAGAAATCATCTTCTTATTTCTGGGTATAACCCTTGGCCACAAGCCTAGCCTTGTACTTCTCAACAGTACCATCGGGCCTAAGCTTCTTCTGGAACACCCACTTACATCCCAATGGTTGACAACCATAAGGACGATTAGTGATTTTCCATGTCCCGTTAGCCAAGATGGAATCCATCTCGCTACGGACCGCATCCTTCCAGTAGTCAGCATCCGGAGATGCATAAGCTTCTGAAATGGAACTGGGAGTGTCATAATCCACGAGGTACACGAGGAAATCATCACCAAAGGACTTTGCAGTCCTTTGTCTCTTGCTCCTGACAGGAGCTTCCTCGTCATCCTCTGTGGAACTCTTATCACTTTTATGTTCATAATATTCCATTGGGATGGCTGGTTCAGGAGTCTCATCAGATTCCAGTTTAGAAGTGCTTTGCATATCTCTCATGGGGAAAATATCCTCAAAAAATGTAGCATCCCTAGACTCCATGATCGTACCAACCTTCTCGTCATGTACATCAGATTTCACCACTAGAAATCTATAGCCAACGCTATGCTTGGGATAGCCAAGAAAAACGCAGTCCACGGTCTTTGGTCCCAACTTGCGTTTTTTGGTTATCGGCACGTTGACTTTCGCCAAACAGCCCCAAGTTCACAAGTAAGAGAGTGTAGTTCTTTTCTTTTCGCATTGCTCATGGGGAGTAGTCTCATTATCCTTTGTGGGAACTTTATTCAGGACATGACATGATGTCAATACAATGTCCCCCCACCATGCCTTGGATAAACCCGATGTATCTAACATAGATTAACCAAATCAGTTAGAGTACGTTTTTTCTGTTTGGCAACCCCGTTTGACTGGGGTGAGTAGGGAGGCGTCCTCTCATGAATAATACCATGTCCCACACAGAATAAATCAAACTCTTTAGAAAAGTACTCTCCACCACAATTAGACCGGACTCGTTTTATTTTCTTCTCAAGTTGGTTCTCAACGTTAGCCTTATAGACCTTAAAGTAGTGTAGAGCCTCATCCTTAGTATTTAACAAATACGCATAGCAGAATCTAGTGGAATCATCAATCAGAGTCATGAAGTATTTCTTTCCGCCTTTAGTCAACACACCATTCAGTGTCTCTCCTTCGCAAGCTTGTGAGGCTTACGAGGCTGCTTAGCTTGTTGTAGGATCAAAAGTATGTCTAGAGGGGGGGGGGGTGATTAGACTACTTGACCAATTAAAAATCTATCCTTTTCCCAATTTTAGTCTTTGGCAGATTTTAGCTATCTTTGCACAAGCCAAGCAATCTTAACACAATTTAAGCAAGCATGCAAAGAGTCTATGAGCAGCGGAAAGTAAAGCATGCAACTTGCAAGAATGTAAAGGGAAGGGTTTGGAGAATTCAAACGCAATTGGAGACAGAGATGTTTTGTCGTGGTTCCGATAGGTGGTGCTATCGTACATCCACGTTGATGGAGACTTCAACCCACGGAGGGTAACGGTTGTGCGAGTCCATGGAGGGCTCCACCCACGAAGGGTCCACAAAGAAGCAACCTTGTCTATCCCATCATGGCCATCGCCCACGAAGGACTTGCCTCACTAGCGGTAGATCTTCACGAAGTACGCGATCTCCTTGCCCTTACAAACTCCTTGGTTCAACTCCACAATCTTTGTCGGAGGCTCCCAAGTGACACCTAGCCAATCTAGGAGACACCACTCTCCAAGAAATAACAAATGGTGTGTTGATGATGAACTCCTTGCTCTTATGCTTCAAATGATAGTCTCCCCAACACTCAACTCTCTCTCACAGGATATGGATTTGGTGGAAAGAAGATTTGAGTGGAAAGCAACTTGGGA